GCCGGTGCCGGTCCCCGCCCTGGCAAAGAGATGGGCTGCTCCAGGGCCTGCTCTCCTCTGTGTTCTCTAATGCAGTAAATGGAGTCAATACGAATATAGTTGGTACTGAAGCGTCTGCTATTGAAAAGGTTCTAAAGCAAGTAGTTTCCTCACTGCAGTAATTAATTGTGTGTGGTTTTCTCGTCTTAAATTCGAAGTAAAGCCTGTTGGATTAATCATATGTCACGAAGCTTCTGTGGTAATAACTGCTTGAAGGTATTATTGAAGCTAATTTGGGAAATGCACACAGGCAAGGTATAAATTGGAACACATTTCTGTGTTTCTGTACTTGCTTCAGCAGTTAGAGCTTCAGAAACGTAGTTTTGGAATAAAAATAACTCGAGATTTGGACATCTCAGTCCAGGTCCTGGTCCTGCCAATTCAATATTAAGAAGTGCTAAACAGTGGCAAAGGTTTTGCCCCAGTGGTGCAAATGGGGGTTATTCCTGTGTGTCTCAGAGAATGATCAGTGGCAAAAGTTTACTGCTGTTCACATAGGTCTAAGTTTAGAGCTTAGACTGGATTAGCCATACTTGGTGGAATTTCTTAGCAGGAGAATTAGATCTGTACGAGTTTATCCACACTTGTATTTTATCTTCCAAAAAATGGAGTGTTAATTTCACTGAGATGTGGTTTCCTCCATGCTGAGGTGTTTGGTAATGCTTTAAACCGCTCATTCAAACATTCTTTATTTGCAAGTGTGTAAAAAACAGCTGAAAACTTTCCAAGCTCAATGTAAAACGTGCTAAAATTCAGTCGAGGGTAATATTTTATCTCCCTTGAAGCAACAAGATTGTTTCCAAGGGGAGGTTCTGTGTGCTTGTGAAAGCTGTCGACTACCAGGAGAGTTCACTAAATGCTGTTAGAAAAACCAAAGTCCACTCGTTAGATTTTCTCTCTTTTCTTTAGTCTATTTCTTTTCTTCTCCTTGAAACTATTGTTCTTACTTCTTGAACTGGTGTTTTTGTTTTATATGCTTCGTGTAGATGAATGGACAGATGTGGACAGGAAACGAGGTACTGTAACCTTCTAGCTGCATGCAGTAGACAAACACCACTACATGCACACATGAGGCTCATCATATGTGAACACACCGTGTGCTGTTCCTGCAGCCTTCTAGTCATAGTGTCAAAGAGGAATAACAACTCACCCATTCACTAAAACTCACTTGAAATACAGAGTGTAGAAAAAACAGACAATATCTCACAAGTGTTTGGCTTCAAAAGCAAGTTGCTAATTTAATTAAGACCATAAATAGATCAAAACCTTTTATCAGAGCAGTCTTCCTTGCCAAAATGAGATGTGTATTTTTCTCACATCACATCAATGCAATGATACAACTGTGTGAGTGTTGTGGAGGTTGTTTTTCAGCTGAACTGCAGGAATATTTTGCATACTCCATTTCTCTAAGGTTTTTTTCTAATTCATTGCTTAGGGTTTTGACAGGTGAACTCCAGAAAGGATTTAAGGCACTTCCCTCCTAGCTGCTTATCTGTCTCTGACAGTGGTCACCACGCTTGCAGGGTGATCACAGAGGAGCTTCAGCCAAGCTCATCTTGACTGAAATGACCCCTGAAGGTGGGTTTGACTTGAGACCTCAGGGTTCGTGCTGGAGCAGCTGCAGAGGGAGTGTGTGTTTCCCTATGGACTGTGCCTGGAAACAGGCAGCAAAGGGCTGTGGTAAGGAGCTGGGTGAGCAAATAAACCTCTTAAACTATCTCATTTTTGGTAGGTGAACATAGGTAGAACTTTCAGTGGCTTTTCAAGCAGCCCTTTTTTAAAGTGAAATCAGGGTTATGATTATTGGTTTTCAAAATAAGCATCATTTGTAGGTTTTGAAGGTAAATACTGGTGTCCTGGAGTTGGCCCCAGCTGTTCTATGCTACCATTACATCCTGTTTCCAAGAACACTACTTTTCCAGCATTTAAGATTTTAGAAGTCTAAAAAGATCCCAAATTCCTCTTTTATCACACCCAAACTGATGATGAGTTGTACCAAAGCCCGCTTGAGCTTATTTAGATGATAGCAGCACAGATGCAGATCCCATGTTGACCAATCCATCAGCTTCTCTTGTGAGAGAAAAAGGTTTGCCTATGGACACTGCTCCTGGGGCAAGCTCTGAAGAGTTGCATAGAGTAACCAGATGATGAAGCCATGACAAGGCAGCTTCACATGCCTTTGACCTTGTTACCAACTATAAACCTATTGCAAGTAGAATGCATGGCTGTTTGGAACTCAAAACGTTCCCGCTGCTGCCTTGAATGTCCTCCAAGAAGCACGAGCATAATGCAGGTGTAAAGGCTCCAGTCTCTGGTCATGCACCCAAGCCACGTTACGTGGCAGTGCACTGGACATTAGCACTTATCTGGCACCAGTGACAGGGCACGTGGAGGTGAAAACCACTGTAAATCCTCAGCTTCTCTTCTGCCCATCACATTGTCTATACTTGGTTTCCTTCTCCCCATCCCAGTGGATGAAACCCCTCTCTGCTGAATTGCTTTTATGCTATGTTGCTTGGCGTGCCATTTTCCCTGAGCTCCTTTCTTTGTTATTTTCCATTGTTAGAATGGTGTAAATATCTCCCTGGGGACTACCTGTGCTCTCAGATCTCTCTGCTGTGTCATTACCAAACATACCATGTGGGATTCGCCCTTTACCATGACTTTTTTGTGTCTTTCTCAGTTCTTTTTATAGCCAATACAAGAGTTTTCAATCTCAGAAGATAATTTATGTCAGGCTGGATGTGTGGTTAACACAGAGCTCGGAATTCCAGTGTGAATATCTGCCAGCCACAGTCAGCATACTGGGCTGTTGTCTGTCTCCTGACAGTTTCGGTTGTTAGTGACCCTCCAAAGATGCTTTGTGTGGGCAACATGGGCAAACAGCTTAAAAATATCTATCTTGACAGCAGCATAAGGCACATCTTCTTAATTTTTGTCATAAATGATTACTTGCAAAATGAAATATATACTAATGCTAATGTATTTGACTTCACTGAAAAAAGGGAGGATTTTTGCCTCAGGCTGCAAGTAGGGATTGTTTTATGGACAGTTTGTTTGAAAAGAAGGGAGGAAGAGGAGGGATTTTCTTCCTATTTGTAATTAGGTGTATTTATAATCCACACTGCCCAGAGGCTGAGCTGGGATCTGTCAGGATCCAGTGAGCCCCATGAGCTGCAGCGCAATGGGTGCTGGAGTGTGTGTGTCACCAGGGGTGTGCACCAGTGTAGGAGAAAACCCAAACCCATCAGGGAGTAGAGAGGATCCCATCAGAAGGCACTTTTCCTAACAGCTATCCATTCTGAGCACCTACAGCATGCCTAACAACATTCCCTGAGGCTTACTCATCTGAGATAAGATGGAGTGACTGGGACATTAAGTTTCTTTTGGCTGGCTGTGTAGGTTGTGAGAAGCCAGGTGTCTACCCCAGCAGTGAATGATTCCAGCAGTGTTTCCAACAGCTAATCACCACCACGACGTATATTTCGTTCCTTTTTCTTTTTTCTTTATTACTTCCTCTGAGATTTTTCTGATTTCCAGGAATCAGCCTCAGTAACAGTCATCTGCTCAGGAAAATTCAGGCTTGTGCAGCAATCTGTGTGATCTGAAGATTTTATGGAACGTTTGTTGGTTAGCGAACTAAATGCTTATTTATGAGAACTCTGTAGAATGTATCAGGTGTATCATAAAAGTATCAGATCCAGCACAAAACGCATCTGCTTGGATCACTGCAAAATGTTTTCTATCTTCTTTGCATTAAAAGCTTCATAACCAGAGTGTAGCCCTTACACTCAGCACTCCTGATTTCTATGTACTCTTGTGTAAGTCGTGTTACATTTAGATGCGGAATTGCCTTATGTAGACAATCCCATGTCTAAATTTACACCTAAAAAAACCCCAAAGCATATGTAAGGAAGTTGAGAGTTCTGCTTTTGAACTGCTCTAGTATCTGCAGAGGTGGTTGTGTAAGAGCCCTGAACGGCCTGACACAGATCCCAGTGTTATGAATGCTTCCTTAAATACTTGCCAGTGCTAATCCGTATGAAACAAATACTACAGGGAGCCTTGAATCATTCAGGAGTTTCTGTTTAGAAGGAAAAATAGTGTCACAGACTAAAGGGAGGACAGGCAGAGTCAGCTGGCTGTAGTCTGCAAAACAGACTTCTTAGGGAGCAGAACTGCAGCTTTTATAGATGGTACGTGTCAGAGCTGTCTATAGACAAAGTCATTTAAAAAGTGAAAAGTGCCATAGCTGTAAAACCAGCAACAAACCCAACCATATTCCCACTGGAAAACAGGGTTTGCTGCATTCTGCCCCCGGGGACAGGCAGCAGGACTCTT